ACAACCACCTGCTTCACTACCTCAAATCCAAACACATTTAAAATTTTTCTAATTTTTATTTTCTTATAATAAAACCATTATTTTCTTATAATAAAACCAATCAAAATTTATTTCATCATAAGAAAAATAATATCGATTGCAAGCTTTATCCATAAATTCTTCAAACTATTTATAATTTTAAAAGTACTCAGATAATCTAATCAAATTGCATTAATTCATTAATTTATGTTCCTGGTTTTGCATGACAGCATCGCGCAGCTACCTTATGTATATTAAGATCACAACTTATGCACCATGTATATCCATCATTAGAACACTAGAACGCTAAGACATAAAATGCTAAACACAAACACAAGAATGCTAGAACACTAAAACAAACACTAGAACGCTAAAACACTAGAACGCTAAAAACACTAGAACACTAGAACACTAAAACACAAATACTAAAACACAAAACGGGTTTATTACCATATTAGGAAATATGTCAAAGCTACTTTTTTGATACATTTATAGTTATTATTTTATATATACATCAAGAAAGTAACATATGCGCTATGTAGATCTACCAAATTACACTAAAACACTAAATCACTAAATCACTAGAACCACTAAATCACTAAATCACAAAACATGTCACTTTGTAATATACTATACGTTAAATACTACTAAATACTATACGCTAAATACTATACGCTAAATACTATACGTTAAATATTATACGTTCTGAAATTAAACTTTTTAGGTGCACAATTTTAGTCTAAGTGCTAATAAACTTTAAGATGTAATTTAGCAAACTTAAATAGATCACCTCTATTAATGCAAGAACGGAGAAGTAAAACTAGGGTTGGGCAAATTTGTAAATAACATATGTAACTTACATGTAACTTACATAATTTTGTAAACTTACACTAAGATACATATATAACTTACCTGTAACTTACACAAAACTCCCAACCTTAAGTAAAATCAATTTGGTTCTAAGTTAGAGATTAATAAATGTAATGCACACAACTAGAAAAACACGGGTTTAAAGCAAGATTCATGAAGATGTAGATTATTCAGATTCACGCTAATTTTGCGAGTTAATATATTTTTTTATTGAATATTTGAAATAAGCTATTCGCGTTTATGAAGAATTTATATTTTTTAATAAAGCTATTCGGGTTTATGAAGACTTGTATTAACCGTTACATTTTATTGGTATATGATTTGGCAAACGAAAAAGGTATTATTAATACAATTGCTATTAATAATTGTACAGGTTTCAAAATAGAAGAAAAAAAATAATATATTATTATAAATAAAATAAAAATAATATATATATTTGAAAAATTACTGGACTAAGTAAAATATTATCGAATTTTATACTGCTACTAAAACTTCTAAAGCCTTAAACCAAATCAAAAAAAAAAAAACATTCAAAAATATTCAAGAAAGTGCTTATTGCATCTGTAGCATTTCTTTCATGACATTTATCACATGTTTAGCAGAACCATAACTCGATTCGTACCCTTTAAAAATATGAGGAATTGAGTTAATATAGAAATATAAAGGGTTTGCATATATGATTTTATTTACCAGCACCGCCATGACCATAATTATGACAAATGAGAATTTTTTTGTCAAACTCTTCAGAGGCTAAACAATAAAAATTAGTAAGAATATGTTTATGATGAATTCAATTAAATGTTAATTGCAAAAAATCATACACATACTGATCCATTCTGCATCGATCCTTATACCACCCTTACGACAGGGTCGGAGACCAACTCCATAACCCTTTATTGTTAATTGAGTCTGATCTTTTGGTAAGAGATCTGGACGAACAGCAAGACATCGTTGAATAATTCTTGTAGCTGCATCATGATCAATATCTGTCGAACTTATATAATATGAGATTTATTATTAATAATAAAAAAAAGTATTGTGCTAATAATGATTATCTTACTAGTTGTTTTCTTCCTATAATTAGTAATGTGAATTTAATTAAAATATGAATAATCCTATTCGAATAAAATAAAAAAAAGTAAATTCTTACGTAAGTCCCGCCAAGAACGGCTTCATCATCACCACGGGGCATCGCATATGTCAACTCTGATTTATTTCCAGCCTTTTCTATGGTTATGAAAGAGTGAATAAATGTAATTCAGCGCTTGAATAGTTAATTCGTAACTAAAACATGTGTTCATATCACCTCGATAAAAAAAAGCCCAATTTATATTCGATTGAACGATCACAAGTTGTCCCCTTGCCGCATAGACGTTAGAATCTTCAACTCCCTTCAGTGTTCTGGCATGAATGCCAGAACAATTAATCACAATATCTGTTTCGCTTTTAATACATTCATTTATATGCGATATATCGGCGTATTGGGTGGTGCCGCCCATTGAAATAAAAGTGTCGAGGAGATATTTAAGATAGGTCTGTGGATTAATGGAAACTACGAAATTATATTCATATCATGATTAATTATGTATATTTTTACTTTAGGAATAGATTGATTTATTTTTATATGGGATACCTGACTTATATGTGATCCCGAACTCAGCACTTTTTGGCAGTTCTTCTTTTTTTAAATGTCTATACTACATTGCATCAAAGAATTTAGTAATAAATCATATTATAAACTGAGCTACCTTTAATAATACCTCATGACATAATGTTTTAAACCATGGATCCGAAAAATCTTGTGGAATGTTCTCCCAATATTCAAATTCATCGATAATCATGATTCCTGTCTCATTTTGTTGTGTTTTAGCAAGTTTCCAAAAATGGTTATAAGTTTCTCTATCAAATTCTTTTAAGATACAAAGTTATAAAAATATCATGTTAACGTGGGATGGTTGATAGAAACAGACAAGTCTGTTTGAAATTCTGAAGTATATATATAAATATAAATATAAATAGAAATAAAAATAGATAATTATAAAATGCGGTTATTTTAGGTAAAAACAATGTTATTTTGGAGAACAAGAATTGAAATTTAACGCAAATTTGATTTTAATTTGTTCTCCCTTTGAACAAATTTACTTAAAAATATTGATTTATGTAGTAAATTTTGGTTTGTATTTGTGATATAACTACAGTTATCATTTGTTCTATTCAAAATATTTAAATCTTTCAATACCATTCACTGATAGCAATATTAAAGCTACTAACGGTTGATAATTGTAATTATAATCAACAGACATAATTAGAAAAAATAATCAGATTAAAACTCTATAAAATTTGATTAAAAACTATTTGACTTTTTAAATGTTTACTTATTTCTGCTAATTTATTGCTTAATATTAATTCTTTTAAAGTGATAAATAAATTAAAATTAGTAAATCAATTTAAAAGAATTCAATACCGACCTGTATACTTATCTGGCGCTAATTAATATTGATTTGAGCCATAAAATTAGCAGCAATAAGCAAATAATTAAATATTCAAGTAGTTCTTATTAAATTTTAATCAATTTACTTGTAACTATATGATTAAATTTTGTATATTATCAGCAAATATGCTGATTAAACTTTTTCTACTTGTGTGATATTAAATATTAATTTCACGTCCGATGATGCCAGTGAATAACTCAATTGGTATGGACTATTAAAACGTGACTCGTCATATTTCTATCAACTCTCTTGTATCTTATCTAAAAGATTCTTTATACCTTGTTGCCTAATTTCATCATTTGTAGCATGGCTCTTCCAATGCGCACCAGCCCTAGAGTGTAATCAAATATTAATATTTAAATATTTAGATATTAAATTTAAAATTTCACATACCAAGGGCTAGTGTATTCTCCAGATAAATCTCCTGGAAAATGTTTCGCAATTAGGTGAACCTTAATTCCTTTTTCTTGCTGCAAAAGCAAACTAGCCGTAGTTAATCCTGAAACACCTGCAATTTTGATGATTATTTAAAAAAAAAATTCAAATAATAATACAGCGAACCTCTTTAAGTCCGTTTTCTAAGTGCGCACCCTCTCTAAATGCACACTCAAATTCTGGATCAAATATATACATGACCTCCATAAATGCATTTTTTCTAAATGCAGGTTGTTAAAGTCTGGTCCCGAGAACGTGCACTTAGAGAGGTTTTACTGTAATAATAATAATATAAGATATTTCATACCTGCCCCAAGTACAACGATGCGTTTGTTTAACATGATTGTTAATGGCGAGAACATTTTTGCCCCAAGTACAACGATGCGTTTGTTTAACATGATTGTTAATGGCGAGAACATTTTTATTTTTTTATTAAATAATTTTTTTAGAATTGACAGTGGTTCCACAATATCGATATTACTGTTACACGACATAATCATCATACAAAACCACTTTGCGTTAGGAATGTTAATGGAGTTGCGTACTCCGGCAGAGTAACCTTAACACTACACCACACCGGAGTACACTTACAGAGCAAACTCCGTAGCACTACACCGAGTTTTAAGTTAAATATAACTCAGAGCATTATACATATACTTCAATGTATAACCCGGAGTATAACCCAGAGTATAATCCAAAGTACCGTATTTACCCAACATATATATGTACATGGGTATTTCCCGAGTTCGTTTTAGTACCCTTAATACATGTGTGAATATATTGTGTGGATATGAATACGTTTCTCGGAGACAGAAAAATACTTAGGCACCTGGGTACAAGTCAAAAATGACTGGCAAAATAGCTACAGGGTACATCGCACGGGGTCTATATGTTTGGTAAATCTGTTACAATTTTCGGGTAAACTTTGTTCAGCCTACATATGAAATAGAATCTGTTAACCCGTTCAAGAACTGATCAACTGTATCAATTTTTTAAATATGTATCTGAATATCCGGATAAACTCATTGATCATTCATTGAATATCCAAATACCTTATCTAATAAGTATGTGTATTTACAGTAGAATGTCAAAAGGCGTAATATGTTTCTTGTCGAAAATAATCTACATCTAGAATTATGAATATATTCGAATTATTTATAGCATATACATATATTTATTTTTGAATAATTTCTTTAAAAATAGATCTAATTACATTTATATTTTTGTATGAAGTACTTTTCTTAGTTTACATACGATCAGGTTAAGTTTGAGTAATTTTATCAGTATTTAAGAACTGTTTTTTTTTTGATTTCGTTTTCATCATCCGAAGATAATTTTTTAAGCAAATTATCAACCTCACCATAAAATATCATAAGCGTTAAGTAACTCAAATCAATGCTTGACTCACTAATATTCGCTATTTCAGCATAATAATCTGGAGTTCCAGAAGCAATCCTAAGTATCAAACATACGGCCATCAAAAGGCTTTGTCCGGTTTACATTTTTGCCATAATAATACCAGACACATAAATATCTGCTGCTTATGTAAGCTGCTGTCTTCCTAAGGTGCAATATAAAGTATAATTTCAAAAATATCACCTTCTAAAACACACTCGTCTTTCTTTCTAGACAATCCTAGCTCTGCAGTATTTGATTGTATTTTCATTGGTGTGTTGGTCTTGTAAAATGTTACCACTATGAAAATCAGCATGAGCGTATCCTGCACAGATGTGAGTATTATGAAATATCTCTAAGCATTTGTAATTTCCGTGCAAGATTATTAAAATTCTCTAAATGTTTACAGGAATACCATCAAGTATTCATTTGTTCTTCATTTTGAACTACCGTATTCCTCTGAAAATATACATCCTTTTTTTGCTATAAGGTTGCTTATTTTCGGGTATTCAGTAAAATCTTTATAAAAAACTTTTTATTTGCCCTTTGCTGTACATAAAATCGATCATAATAATCAAGTGATCGCCTCTTTTGATTTTTCTTGTCATGAAAATCATTTGACTGCCACCTTTGCAGTTATCTCTCATCGTGATTGAACTTATCAGAAATTGGTTATTGTTACACCCTTAACATTAATTTAAATCTTTGCAGCAATAAATATTCAAACCTTTAAAATCCCAAATTCATCCAGATCCCAAATCCGTTCTAAATTTTAAACTAGTTTCTAATTCCGAATTTGGGTGTTAAATTCTATATAAATTTTTTGCAATTTGTTTAAGCGGTAAATTGTTTTTAAAGGGAATAAAAAATGATAAACCTTATAATAAATATTTATATGTTTTTTCTATAGTGAAGAAATCTGACTTGCTTACAAATAAAAGTATTTTTTTATTAAATAACTCTTTCATGTTGCTTAATTGAAAGTTGTAGAGCTAATTTTGGTGATTCTAATGGTAGTAAATCATCGAAATTGGTTCGACAGGTCATAAGATATGAGTATTTTTCAATCATTTACTGTGGAGTTTTTTCTTAAGAATTGAAGCACATGAGATTCCACTTACTATATAAGGTAATATCACATGCCCACCGATTTTACTATGAAATTTATACATGTTAACTGTTATTACATTACAATTTTATTCTATATTAGTATTATCTAATATTGCATCGATATTAAATTTGTTCTATATACATGTAATTGCATTATATGATGTTCTCAGATAAGACACAAAAATAAATTTTTGTTCTATATTGGCAGATTTGTGGAATGGATCTAAATTAGAATCTCTGGATTTAACAATTGCAGAATGCAAAATAACTGAAATTTTGGTTGCTACATTATTAAAATATATAAACCTTAATTTGGGTCAATTCTACAAATTCTCCAATATGCTAAATCTATAATACATTATAACTCTATTCTAGAATAGTATTATTCAATATCAAAATTTTTGATTTATGATCGAAAATTTTCTCTCGAAATTCATGGCATGATCTAAATCTAAGTTTGTATTATTTAATATATAACTATATAATAAAAAAATTTGTGTGTAATGATAACATTTAGATTACCTGTATAAATAATTTTTTCAATTGTGTATCTATAAACTGTAAAAATTTTATTGGCTTATGCTTTATAGCATATTTTTGATATGAAGATAACATGTTACTTTACCAGTTTTTACATATGGTACATATTAAAAAAATTGCTTTTCTAAATGCTTCTAAATGCACTATCACTTCAGTTTTACTTATAAATGCACCTTTTCATGCTGTTCTTTAAATACACATTGTTAAAAGATCAGTTCTAATGGAGTATATTTAGAGAGGTTGCTTTGTATTTATATATTGATATTGATTGTTATATTGATTTGTAAACTGGTTTATTAATTTAACCCTTTATGAAAATATTAAATATATTTAAATTTTTCTAGCAATCAACCTAGACTTCAGTAAAATAGACTGTTATTAACTAATTTTTTAAATTTCTTATACTTATCTCTTATTATTATAGCATATACTATTTTTAAGGTTGTATTTTCAAAATGTATTATGATTTTGGTTTTGTCTCTTTGGATGGGTATTACAAGTAAAGCTATAATTTTAATTTTTTTCATCCTGATTGCTTCATAATTATAACTGTTCAAACTTCATCAAACTTCATCAACTTTATCAATTGTTCTACCTTTTCGCTTTATTGAAAATTTGCAAAGTATCCAAATTACTAGGTATTTAATTTTATTAATTAGTGCTAGATACTAAGATGTTCAACAATATCTAATAGAATATAACTAGTAATGTGCACTGCAGACCTACCATAAATTAGACCAAGACATAAAATACATGATCTTAATTAATCAAATATGATTTTTTTTCAAATGGTTTTGCTACTTATTGTAAATATAAAGTGTGTATGTATTTTATATTTTTTTCTTTCATGATATAATCTCTTAGCTATTCAATATCTGAAGTTTATTAAAAGTTTTAAAATAATGGAATGTATATAAGCTTGTTGTAAAAATTAAAATTAATTTAGAAACACATAACAATACCTTTTATCACAATCTTGTATAAGGCTCTTACTAGCACTGTATAAGCCATGAAATTTTTTTTTTTTTTTTTCCAATTCGGCAGTCTTGCCTTCACTTTATTAGGCTTTGTAATAATTATTTAAACTATTAAAATTTTCTGGAGAGTTATT